TACGGCCAAGCCTTTACATGTTTTACTCAACAATAACAACGCTGACCCAATTTTATGGGAAGAACTTGACAACATAGCTTTCAAGACTTCAAATGAGAGTTGGATGAACCCACCTGCCCTTGGGCATCCCAATTATCAGATTTCCTTTTACCATTTTGTGTATGAAAAGAAGGAAACACCCTTGGGGTACTCACCCAAAAACGTGGGGACCACCATCGACCCATAGGGTATTATAGCCTACAACTGGACCCTGTGGAATGGGGATACACCCCTTGTCATAAAGCCATTATGAAAACTGCCCTTTTGCTTAATATCTCCAAGAAAATCATGGGATTCCCTTTAACCATTTTTGTACCTCATGCAATAGAATCTTCCCTGAATTCTCATCACACTCAACATTTCTCAGTCAGCAGCCTCAAGTCCCATGAAGTTCTTTTTAACTGCCCCTCACAGAACTGTTTTACATCGTAATAATCTTAACCTGGATACTCTTCTTCCCTCCATCACTGACAAAATCCCTCTCAACTGCTTAATGCTGACAGACCACTCCTGGCTCTTCGTAATGATCTACAGAAAATTCCTTTGGGTAACTCTGACTTCAAATGGTTCACTGATGGTTCTTATTTAAAAGGTGACAATAACAAATATTGTGCTATGTATGCTCTTACAAATCCTTTTAACGTTATTGAGGCAATATCTTTACCTCTGGATACTTTGGCCTGACCACCTAAATTATACACTCTTACAGGGGCTTGTACTTTAGCCAAGGACAAACCTGCCAATATTTATACTGATGGCAGATATGCTTTTGGAGTAGCTCATGATTTTGGAATGTTATGGAAGCAATGTGGCTTCCTTGCTTCCAGTGGAAATAAAATTTAAAATGGCCCCTATGTTCAGGAATTATTGGATGCAATAATTTTACCTGCCACTTTAGCTATTATTAAGATCTAAGAGCGTTCTAAACTTCACTGTCTGGTGGCTAAGGGAAATTACTTTGCTGACATTTCCTCAAGGAATGCTGTCCTTAAAGGGACCAACCAGCAGCCAAGCCTCTGTCGTGATTCAAAGGGATATTTCCCCAAATGAGAATTTTAAAAAACTGGCTAAAGAAGCCCAGCAATTGGCCTCAGAAAAGGAAAAACAGGACTGGAAATTCAACAATTGTTGGTTTGATAAAAGAGAAAGCCCAAGTTTGGACAAAATAACAACCCGGTTCTAGCAGACACTCTAAAATTTCTACTCCTCCCTACTGTACATGCCTTAACCCATCAGTCTACTGATGAAATGAGAGCCTTCATGAATCAGTGTTGGTGGGGAAACATTAACAAGGCTTCAAACAGTGCCTACCTCCTTGTCTCACTATCCAAGTACAACTTGGGGAAGCATGTTCATACTGCTCTGAGGCATTTTAAACCACCTAATGGACAATCTGAGGTCTGGAAAATGGATTTCATGTAACTTCCTCCTCTCATGGATATAAATATGTTTTAGTCATGGTGTGTGTGTTTTCACACTGCACTGAAGCCTTCCCTTGAAGACAGGCTACTGCCTCTTCTGCAGCTAAAATCCTTTTTATCCCTACCTGAGGAACTCCTCTCAAACTTTATAGTGATGGAGGAACCCATTGTACCAGCCAGGTGCTTTGACAAGTCTGTGCTATTTGGCCAGCTTTGCAGCACTTTCTTTAACTGCACTATTGGAAGACTCAATTGGCAAAATCTGTAGAGGTGCTAGAAATACCTTGGCCAAAAGCATTGCCCTTGGTCCTTTTTAATCTCAGATCCACCCTTTTTGGAACTCATAAACTCTCAGCTTTGAGGTTTGTCACAGATGCTCAATGCACTTGACTCCTGCTTCTTTTGACCCACAACTGATAAAAGGAGAGACACTCCAATATTACAAAGGCCTAATTGCTTCTATTAAAAAATAACCATGTTTTGGTAGAGCAACCTTTTCAGGGTGTGCCCTTAAGAGACAAAGACCCTAAGCATCATGTTTTGTAAACTGGAGATTTTGTCTATTGGAAAAGACACCTCCTGTAGAACTCTCTTCACCCTCACTGGAGACGCCCCTATCTGGTAGTGCTAACCAACTCTTGTGTTGCCAAACTCCAAGGGATAGACTCTTGGATTCACATGACACCTAAAGAAAGCGCTGAACCTTGACTGGACCTGTGCATCATCTGGTGACCTGAAAGTAAAGATTTCCTGCAACTGAAGCAGATGACATCTGATGAGACAGCTTTCTCAAGATAGCCAGACCAAGGCTGTTGGAAGTTTGTCACCAAACCTTTGATGATGACTTAGCGCTTCAGATGATCTCCAGTGCCTATGCTCTTGATAACATATGGACTTTAGATAAAAAGTGCCTGAGAGTTCTCCCTCCTACCCCTCCTTGTTACTTGAATGTGACCTTAACAGGTTTCCAATCTGTGCACTTTCCCTCCAATGTGAGACACTACACCCAGGAAAGGTCCTTTCTGACACTGAGGGACAAAAAGTCAGTGAACCTAGAAAAACTAACTCTTGATCAATGATGCTTAGAGACAGATCTTGATCAAGGGGGGAAATGTAAAAAATGTAATAAACAGAAAACTCAATTAAATAGAGTTGGGAGACCAGAAGGGGGATCTCTCACACCCTGTGACAACAGCAGAGCCCAGCAGGAAGAAGAAAGACTCCTTTTCTTTCCTGGCCAAGCCATGGATTCTTTGTTTATTACATCCCTCCCAACTTCCTTTTCCTCTCTATAAAAGCAGTCTCCTTCCCTTGCCATGCATATGGTTTGCCATGATTACAGACCCAGAACTGCAATTCTCTGCTGATCCTGAATAAACTCATCTTTGCTGGAGAAATATCAGTCAGTTCATTTGTTTCAGATCAACGTCAATATGAGGTTCTACTTTCTTAGATTCTTAGATTCCTGGTTCTCTTTAAAAGTCCAGCTCAAATGTCATACTTGTTGAAAAGTCTTCCTTCACTCTCCCATCACTTTCTCTCTCTTTCGTATTCCTTTGGTACATCCCTCTTCTGTAGTACATGCTTGTACTATAACACATTTCTCTACTAAAGTACTTATGGCTTGTTTCCGACTTGTCCTTTTTACTAAACTGTTAGCTACTTAAGGGCAGGGACTATGTTTTTCACCTTCCTGTATGCCCAGTTCATGATGCAGTGCATAGACATGCTAGTAAGTAAATGATCACTGAGTGAACAACTAAGTAGTTGAATTGTTCCCAAACCTATGCTTCTGGTCTTAGCCTTTCTATTCAACTCCATTCTCATATTTTCAAAGGGCTGCTGGCACTTTTCAATTGACTGTCTAGTTTTTCCTCAAACTCAACATCACAAACTCTTTATGTTGTGCCAACTTCTCCATCTTTATCATTAATACCAACTTCCTTCCAGTTTCCTTGTTAGACATTTTAGAGTACTTTGAGTCTTCTTCTGATGCTGAGGATTTCCTTTACTCTATTTCACTGATTCTAGCCTCTGTTCAGACGTTCATCACTCAATTCCTGGAAAAATACAAAACCTTTTTGGCTGGCTGGAGGGTATTCTGACTCAAATTTCTTTTCTTCTTAAATTAATATGCATATCTCTGCAAGATCATCACTGAAGTATCATTTTATTCATGTCCATGTGTTGTTCTATTTATCAAATATTTTTGTGAATGTGTATGACACATGCCATTCTCTTGCATAAAAACTTAATGTTCACATGAACTAAATGAGATAGTATTTTTATCTCTATTTTATAGATAAGGAAAATGAAATTTAGGTATGTTAGACTCTCTGCCCAAAGTCAGTTACACCAACAAGGAAATCGTAGAGCTGAGATTTGAACACAGGTCTATTTAGCTGAGAACACTGAGCTCTGCTTAATCACTGCATTAGAGAATAGTATCTCGAGTTTAAATTCCTGCCTCTTTTTGGAAGGTCTCCATGATACAGCCAATCAATCTTATTTAACTTCCTTTCACGTTTCAAATATCTTTCTCGTTATCTCCTGTGCGTTGACCTTTTTACTTCAATTAAATTGTAAGCTCCAGAGACTATGCATTATTCTTGTCTTAATTTCTATGAAGGTCTAGTACTGTGGAGGGCACACAATAAAACTCCGTGAATAATTGATAACGTCTTTGGCACAGTTCTCGGCACATATGCGTGCTTAATCAGTGGTCACGACGATTATTATTTATTATTACTCGAGGGGTGGATGCATCAAGTTGAAGTCCTAACAGAAAACCAGAAAATTCTGATCTCTACCTCAATCCTAAGAACTTCTTGCTTGCCTTCCTTATGACCCAGAATTATGGTTTCTCAGGCCAAGTTAGTCATTTTAATTACATGCCACCCTTTCTGCGAAGCGGTATCAACTATAACATCAACCAGCAGCAACACTTTTTCCACGATTAGTGCTCTCTTTAAATTGGGAGCGCTTTGGAGGAAAAAAAAATGGAAGAGTTGTAATCGTTTTGAGATGGATGGTCATCGTGCTTGCTATCTATCCACGGCTGGAACTCCATTTAACTTTAAGAAAGTCTACTACAAGTGCCTGCTCAAGGATTCCTGGCTCAAGTTTCTGATGTGTACGGTCTCGGCCCATCAGGCATCTCCCTGTCCTGTCATCCCTCCTTCCCGTCTCCGCCTCCGCGGAATTGTCCCAGATCCTGCAGCAGCTGCAGAAAAGTCTCTCCATCCCTCTTTGCGGAGTGAGACGCACTTCTCAAGACGCAGGAAATGCGGCGGCTTTCGGACCCAGCGGTCCAGGCCGCACCCCGCCCCGCCCCGCCCCAGAGAACGCCGTCGCGTCGCGTTACGTCACGCGCTGCCGGAAGTGCAGCTGCGTGCACGGCGGGGGCACGTCTCCGGACGGCTCCGGGCGCTGTTCCGCGTGTAGCTGCCCGAACAGCGCGGGAAGCGGTCCAGTGCTTCGTTGTCGCCTCCGCCGCCGAGGTGGTGTATCTCCCCGCGCGGGCGCCCCGAGCGCGGCGCCATGGAGGTGGTGGAGGCCGCCGCCGCTCAGCTGCAAACTCTGAAATTCGGTGGCGCCGGCGTCGGGGTTGACCAAGGTCTGGCCGTGCCGGCTCCGGACCCCGTTCCGGTCGCAGCGCCGGGGGCGGACGAGGGGGCCTCGGACCTTGCGGGGGAGCAGCCGCCTCAGCTCGCCCCGCGGTCGCTCCCGGAGCCGCCTCCCGGAGGGAGCAGCCTGGAGACGTCGGACTCGGACTCGGACTCCGACTCGGACAGGTCGGGCGCCAGGCGGTCCGGGGCGCGGGGCGCGGGGCCCGGGGCGGGCTCGGGGAGCGGGAGGGCCCGGGTAGCCGGGGCGCGTTCTTCGCCGCCCCCTGTGGATCGTGCTCGGGGCCTGAGCGTCGCCGTCAGGGCCCCTCGTCCCCGAAGTCTGGGGGTCTTGTGTACACCATATCGTTTTCAGCTAGAGTATAGGAAATCTGCGGATATAGGGTTGTTCCGTGACCAGTCGTGTGGCGTGTCCTTGGTGGTTATAGCTTATAGTTTGGGGCAGAGCCGACTTTTCCCCATCCAGTTTAGTGTGTGCGCTTGTTTGTGGAGCCAGATAAATGGAGCATCAGGTGAAGGATTTTATGTGTTTGCAAGTTGGGTCCCGGCAGTTTTGTTCGTAGAAGCCTTGTGGTGAGGAATTATTAATGAAATTAGCGAAACATTGTTATTTTACTATTACTGCAGGCTTCCGTAGGTTTTATGAGGCACCTCCCCCCTCCCTCGCGGTGTCTTTTAAATATGAAAGTTTTGTGGAGGGAGGGCACTTCGGCGTGACGTTACTACACCACGCTGCACATCGTCTACAAGTGTTTGTGTCTTGTGCGACGCGGTGAACAAAATAGATACTACCCCTGCCCTGCATTCTGCTGAGAGGGACGAAAAATAAAAGTAAACATACCAATCAGCCAATGAGTTGGTGAAAATTACCACGAAGGAACAAGCTAGGCACTGAGAAAGTAATAGGAGAACCCAACCCGGTCGGACCCTCTGGCCATGATAAAGATTTAATTCTAAGGGGTGGAGAAACTATTGAAGAATTTTTGAGCAGATAATTGACATGCTCAGGTTAACGTTCTGATGTTTTGCTCTGTGGATAAGGAATTGAATTGGGCTCAAGAGTGAAAGCAGAATGGGCAGGGTTAGTGTGGAAGCAGTTGGAAAGATGTTCCATTAGTCCACGATGTGACCATGTTTGGATTGAGTATTTTGACATCACCCTGATCAGGGTCGCTAGTAGATGTTGTAGTGGCCGAGTCAGAGAGGCATCAGTTGGGTGGATGGTGGTGCTGTTTACTGGGATGGGGGCTGTAGACCAATAGGAGTGTTAACTTCGGACAGTTAATTTGGGGTTTCCCTCACAACAAATTGGAGATGTCAGGTAAGCAGTAGGATGATGAGTTTAGAGTTCAGAGGACAATTCTGGTATGGAGATGTAAATTCGAACATCAGATTACAGATAAAACTTACTTGAACGTTTTATTATGGATGTTTTCAAACTCATACAAAGTACAGAGAGTAATACAATGAATGAACATATACTCATCACCAAACTTGACACTTTCCAATATTTTGCTAACTTTGTTTTATCTAACATTTCTAACATTTTTTTTTTTTAACCGGGTAGTGTTAAATTTCTGACAGCATGCCACCTTACCTGTAAATTCTTTACTTTTCGTCTCTGATAAAATACTTTTTACATAACCACCATGTCATTATAAATCATAGTAAAATGAACCCTAATTCCTTAATACCACCTAATACACACTCTGTATTCAGATTTTTCTAGCGGAATAGGAGTCACGTTTACCAGTTTTATCATTGACTGAGAATGCAATAGCTTGAAATGATTCCAAGGTTTCTACCTCTGGTGACTGGATTGAGGACTAAACAATGAAATAAAAGTAGAAGCTCGAAGACAGAAGCAGATTTAGTAAGGAGAATGCACTTTTTTCTTTTAACTTGTGAGTGTGAGACATGTATAAGTCATTCATACCACAGTTGCTGGTAAGCAGCTAGAGATCAGGAGAGGAGCCTGGGGATATCAAGGCTGAAGATTTGGGAGTTATCTGCACATTGGTAATGATTGAGCTCATTGGAGTGGATGAGGTTATCCATGGAAAAAGTACCAGAGAAAGAAGAGAACATGAGGATGGGACTCTTAGAAACAGTACATACAAGGAGCTGAAGTGGCTACCAGCAAACAATTTAAGAGGAGAGTTACTGGCACTGAGAATTGCTGTGGAAGTCAAGGGCTAAATGAGATTTCAGAGAGTAGTGTTCAGCATGGTTAGTAACTTTGAGGAGGTTCCAAATTGAAGACTGAGAAGAAACTCTCTTGGATTAGTTGTGATTTGGTCCTTGGTGACTAATAAGAGAGGTGCCTTTCCCAGAATTCTCTTCTGTCAGTGATTTGTCACATGCTTAATTATATTCAGACTGTGGCATGACACGTGAGACAGTTGTAATAAGAGGGTTTGGGTTATAGCAGGGATTTTGTGATCAGTGGATTAAAGACTGCTTTCCAAATACAATAGTCAGTTTCGAAATGCTAAGCTTTTGAACAGCAGCCATAAACATCTAGTAAAGTAGATATTTCCTAGTTGAATAATCGTATTTTGGTACCCTCATAATAATGCTTTTGTACTGTTTTCAATTTTTTCTTCTTTGCAGTGAAACAGATTCCGATAGTTCAAGCTCCTCTTCTTCCTCATCATCATCCTCATCGTCTTCGTCTCATATATCCCTCCCTGCAGTGCTGTCAGATGGAGAAGATGACTTACAAGTTGAGAAGGAAAATAAGAATTTTCCTCTTAAAACAAAAGATGAGTTACTTCTAAGTGTAAGTACTTAGATTTGTTACTGAACTTAATTTGCATGTTCTAAAATATTTTATGGTACCAGTATTGATCTCATTTGGCCTATATCTGCTTCATAAATTTGGATACCTTTCTCAGCTTTTATTGGTCATACCTTTGCCATGCCTTGGCTTTCTTAAGTAAAAGAAAGTATTGATCTGAATAATATCTCAGGTTGATTCCAACGCTAACATTTGACAGTTGTGCTGGGCATCCAGTTTGGCTTGCTGCTTTTCATTTTTTATCTTCCCTAAAGAGTGTAAAGATTTGGTTTTGTTTTTTTTTTTCTTTGCTCTACAATTCAGGATATTTTGCTAAGTAGCAATTGAAATTATTTTTTTCATCGACTGCATTTAGAGAAATAGTGAAATTAGGTCGGTTGCACTTTTGAGGATTTATATTTACTTGAAGTTTTTGCAGTGTTTTCATTATTACAGTTGGAAAAAACTTGTTTATTGTGGATTGGTATTGACATTTGATAGGTTTTTGTCTATAAATTTAACTCTCGTGTGCTTATTTCCTTCTAAGCTGTTACTAGGAGGTTGATGGTAGTCTGGTTGAATGAAACCTTATGATCCAAGAGGAAAGTCTTCTCAGAATTTCACAGGATATTGCCACATGTTTATTCTCCCCACTCCCACGTGTACTTTAGTTATTATTAAAGCTTTTAAAAACCTTAATGATCACTGACTCTAATGATACAATACTTAAATCAGTGAAGTAGTAAAGCAAGATTTGAAAAAAATTTTTAAAGCCTAGAGTCATTCAGGCACCTTTTCATGACTGTATTCACTCGCTATTATCTCCTTTTTCTCGTAATAAGAAATTCCCTATCTCACTTAACACCTCATGTATTGAGAACCCTTGGATTTGTATGCAAATTCATCATTGATTTATATTTTCCTACTATAGACATTGATCTCTCTCAGTGGTCTTTTTACACAAAGCCTCTCCCAACTTATGACTATTTTCTGAAAGTATTGGGTAATTTGATCTTTTCCCTATATCTTGATCACCTTTTTATTTAAGTTCTCTTTTAGAGTATAAGAATCAACGAATAAAGGACCACAGTACTTTGATTTATGTATGTGTTTCATTTTCTTATTTATCTTACTAGACCTGGAATTTTTCCCTTGGAATTTAATGCAAAATATTAGTCAATATACTTAGGTATTTTTCTGGATAGAGTGCTCGTATTTTCATCAGAAAGTCAAAAAGGGTCTGTGTCCATAGAGGCCAGGAACCACGTTTTTGAGGACTGAGTTCAGACCTGATCTCCGTGGTTCCCCTAGTGCCCAGCAGAGTGCTTTTCGGATGTTGGGTTCTCAGTCAGTGGTAATATGTGATTGTAGAATGGGTGAGTGAACAGGCATCTTACATTCACCCACTTTTAAACTATTACAGCACACCTGCCATATGCCAAGTGCTGTAAACAAGACCCATCCCCTTTCTGCTCTCATAGTACCTACTGGAGAGAGAGAGATAGTAAATGAAGCAGAGACAAATACAGTCACTTGCTGGAAGTGCTGTTGAATTGTGAGTGTGTGCTTGGCTCATATCAGAAAATTGCATTTTTGCTGGGAAGGAAAGTATGTTAGCTTTTAAAACTTGGAATAGTGTGCTGCTCTGTTCATTTTTGTGCCAGTTCTGAAGGATCTTTGGGAAGGATGGAAGGGGCAATTATAGTCTTTATTTTTAAATTCTGGATTCTTAACTAGCTGTTTACTTATTTTCATGATTAGGAAATAAGTGTACTAGAAGTTCCTAGTCTTTTAAGCCACTCTGGTGCCAGAGCTACATACAGGAATGAGTTCTCTGGTCTGCCCTAAATCTTTCTGACTTAGGGTCTGAAAGAGTATGTGAGGACTCCTTCAGGACTTTAGCTCTGAAGTTCAAGGGAAGAGAATGACTTGACCCTGAACACCAAGGATGGTGTGGCTACAAGTACTCAGTATCTTTAGGACTCTGCTCTTTTTCTGTTGCTCCGTAGGTGTTTCTGCGCGGGGCTGGCGGCTTGGCCACTGATACTCCTGTATGAAAGCCATGGAGAGAACTTGTGCTGGTTTACTGCGGGCTCGGTACTCAAGCCTGAACAAATAATTGAGTCTAGTGAGATGGATATTCGGATTGCCTGGACATAAGTTACCTAGTCACTGCTGTTCTTGTGGAGAGTGTGTAGGAAAGTGTGTGCTTGAGAGAAAGCACACGGGTGAGTGTGAGAGCCAGATGACAGAAAGGAAGCGTGAGAGCGTGTGGAATTTGAGGAGGGCGGGAGCTGGGTCGGTGTTTTCAACCCCATGCAAACCACAGGGAATGGGTTCTCGGTCACAGGAAAGGGAGGCTTAGAACACTTCAGACGGGGTTGCTGTTCTGTCAGTAATAGTATTTATCTTCTGTGGAGGGGAAGAGAGAAATAATAATACTTGGGAGCAGTTAATCACATGACTTACATTGGACTCTTGTGGCTGCAACAGAGACCCTCAAATTGCATCAAGAGAACAGGGATTTGTTGGAAACTTAATTGGATAGGAAAGCCATCGGGAACCAAGCTAGCTCTTGTGGATGGCCATGCTGTTTCTTTTGTACGCTTCTTGGGACTCTCATCGTTCTGAGTGTCGTATTCTTGTTTCCTGACTCACTTCTGTTTACCTGTAGATTCATCTTTTTAATTCTAGCTTACACATGCGTTTCTCTTCTTGTTCCTGGCTGTACATTTGGTATCCTCTACTTTAAACTTCTCCACGAACTGGCTATTAGTGCCATATTCTTTCCTGACTTTTGGGACATGACTATGACTTAGCTTAGATTTGTCTTTTTTCAGAAGATGACCGTCCACGCTTCCTGGGAAGCATCCCCTCCTTTGTTACAACTAGCTCTGGCTGGTATTGAATGTGCCATTTGTTCAGGTCTACTGGTGTGTGTCTTCTTAGGCAGCAGGGGTTGTGCAGCGGAACTGTTTGCTCTGTGTAATTTAATTTCCTAATGAAATTCTGAAGAAGATGAGAGAAATATTCTGTGTTGTCTTTGCCAAAAGGCATACATAAATTAAAATGGGCCAAACAGTTAATACCAGTTTCAGAGTTTGTGCTGGATCATTGAGATCTTTAGAACATAGACATGCCCAGTTTAGCCCGGTTTTATGTCCTACCTCTTTATGAAGTATCTCATATGCTAGGCTGTTTGCTATTGTTGTTCAGGCATGCCGAGCTTAATTTTTACCTCCATTTGGCCTGTTTGTCAAACAGGAATGTTGCCTTCCTGGGTCTAGCTTTTTAAATCTTTTCCATTGTTGCAAAGTTAGGTCCTGGTGATCTACCTACTAGCTATTGCGGATCTCTCATTGTAAGAATGTGGGAGCTACAGTGAGGTAACCTCGAGATTGTTCTTTTAGAACTAAACAGTTGCTTTTTTAAAAAATTTTAATTAATTAATTTATTTTGGGCTGTGTTGGGTCTTCGTTGCTGCGTGTGGGCTTTCTCTAGTTGCGGCGAGTGGGGGCTACTCTTCGTTGCGGTGTGCGGGCTTCTCATTGTGGTGGCTTCTCGTTGCGGAGCACAGGCTCTAGGCACGCGGGCTCCAGTAGTGGCTCGCGGGCTCTAGAGTGCGGGCTCAGTAGTTGTGGCACTAGAATTAAACAGTTGCAACAATCCCTTGGAATGACAAGATGTGGTTATAACTTGTTTTAAAAAAAGATGAGAGGAAGAGGAAAAACGAGGGATTGGTCAGCCATAGAGGCATTGGAAAGGAGAATAGACTTAATTGGCTCTTTTCTTAATGTCACAATTACATAACATATGACTTAAAGTTAACCAAGTGGAATCATTCTTTTAGAACATAAACCTTTAATGCTGAGAAGGTTTATATTAATATATAATCTATACAGTAAATGTAAAGCAGCATGCATATTACAGTTTTGGAACTACATTAAACCACATAGGGTTCAGTGTTTCAGTGAATTGGAAAATTAGGTTCTATTTGAAGAACTTTCTCATCAATTTATGTTCTTAACTGTTCTTTCAAATAAATCTAATGTAATTAAAATTTAGAATCATAAGGACATTTATGGGATTGTGACATTGCAAAGTCTTAATCAGAAATGAATTGTATAAATAAGTACCTATTGAAAACCTGAAGTTTTTAAATAATATTTAAAAATTATGATCACAGTGTTTTGGGGGATAAAACATAGATAATACTGCAATATAGGTAATGTGTATTTATACATGTAATATAACATAATAACTTAATGTTTGTAGGCAATTCTTGGTAAATTTACCTTCATAATTTAGAGACTGCCTATATTATGTTGTATATTGTATACTGTATGTATGCCATATATATACACAATATATGGTATGTAATTTACAATATACAGTATATAGGTAATATACAAATGCAATATATGTATATATACAATATACAGTATAATATAGGTAACATACAAATGCAGTATAATTAGGTTGACCCTTATAGTTGTAGTTAGGGTGAGTACACTTTTTCTGATTCTGGCAGTGCAGACTCTTATCCTAATGCGAGGATATGGAAATACGTGGGCCACCTCAAGTGGTCAGAAGTTACAGTGGATTATTTCACATTTTTGACTTCCCACCATCTTGAAATTGTATTGCACCTTGTTCTACAGTTAATAATCGTTGATCGAATGTGGTGTTTTCAGGGCCCAACTTGGTTTATGAGTTTTGTCCTAAATGCAGGCCTTGTTCAACTTCAGCTTTTTATGACTTTAGTATATCTGGAATTATTATATCATATCTTAGAATACCGATGGCACTTATTAGCATTCTCAAAATACCTGATATTTAAGAAATGGCTTACATACTTGAAAGGAGATAGGTTTTCATTAATACTTGGTCCTTTTTAAAAACAGTGCTCAGATTTTTTAAAAAATTAAGATTTTGTGCTTCATTGCACAAAATTATTTCAGTAAGGCTTGTATGAAGCACAAATAATCCTGAATAAATACTGA